TGCACAGAACAACTCCTATTTACTGAGAAAAGCTTTGTAAAATGTAATTTTACAAACTCAAGTTTGCGCAGACGGTCCAAGTAAAAAGAAAAGAACCACTATATCCAACTGTCCTGTGACTGCAGCACAGTCGGATCAAGCAAAAATTTGAAGGAATAGCTTGACCTGGAAAATACTATTATTTGCAAAGATCGATACCACTTTTTATATCTGTAGAGTACACATAAAGAGCCAGCAGCTGGTTAGCTTAGCTTAGCATAAAGACTGGAAACGGGAGGAGACGGCTAGCCTGGCTCTGTCCAAAGGTTAACCTACCAGTACCTCTAAAGCTCACTAATTCATCATGTTACATCTCTCTGCAACCTCGCAGTCACGCCACGACGGGAGTCACCGTGCCCGAGCACGTGGAGTCGTTATCGATCTCTTCCAACACTAAAGCAAGAAGAGTATTTCCCAAAAAACTATTCCTTTCACTATTTTTGGATCATGTTCAGGAGTGATTTAATGTCCTCGACGTTCAGAAAAGTTTTTGTATGCCTCGGTTGAGGCATGTGTAACCAGCAAAGACTGACACTAAAGCCAAGTGCTTTCCTTTTTTTTTTTTTCTTTTTACCCTTAAACTCCAGCTGTCCTGAACTAATTCTAACACACTAGACAGAAAAATACGTATTTAAACTGTGACGGGGAAATAACTTCTTCTCGAGAAGTTCTTACGTGTACCAGTTTAAATGTTTCTTCTCTTTCTTTCTCTTACCAAGCTGGGCAGGATCACACTGGACTGAATTTGTTTTATTTGAGCTGGTTTCAAATACTTAACTGAGGAGCGCTTTAGTGAGTCGCCCAGCCTCTTTACCAGCTTCCAATCCGACAACACACTACCAAACTGAACCAAACCGAGAGCCAAGTATTTTTGATACACTACCAGCCACTGATTCTATTTAAAAACCATATTTCACTGCCCGTTGGAAGGTTTTCACTCTTTAGCCAAAACACACCAAAGTAGTCGTCGGTGAGCGGTATAACTTGGCTGTCGCGTATGAACAAAAAATTTAATTGCGTGTTAAAATGAGAGCTATCGATCGCTAGGAGAGCTGATTTTTAGCAGCTGACTGTACGAACTTGATGAATTTGTGCTAAAATGTGAAAATGTTCTACCAAAGTGTAGTATCTCTTCAGAGGTGTTGAGGGAGGGGGAACACCTTTTTCAGATGCTGAATTTCAAGCAGCTCAAACCCCGAGACTGGAGTTTTGTCCATGAAAAGACAAAAAAAAGTAAGAAGATTCCTCCGTTTTAACGCTACGGGCGCACATTCATCGCACACGTCATTTGTTGAGCTGGTTGAATCAGGATCTCCTCTTCTCCTCGACAAACCCATTCCCACGCATCCCCTCCTCTTTCCTCCCACTACTAACTACAGCATTTTCCATCTCCAATTTCTACCTCTACACTTCAGTTTCTTTACATCTTCCATGATTTCTATTTTTATTTTAATTTTTCCCCCATATGTTTTATCTTGTACATTGACATCAGCGTTAAAGCCCTAACCGGCTGTAAAAAAAAACAAACAAAAACAAGCTACAACTGATTCCTTTTTTTTAAAAAAAATGTTGCACAAACAAACTTCCCTGCACGGTGCAAACTACTGTATGCATACACACGTCTTTTACTATCATCTCATTGTCTTTTTATTTTGTGTCTTTTTAAGAAAAAAAAAAAAAAACCTTGTTCACTCATGTAATATAGAGAGATCAGACCCACTTGTTTTATATATGTTAATTTTTTTCTGTAAAGCCTTAGTCCTCGTATTTGATTTTATTTTTGTAGATATGATTAAAAAAAAAAGGATGTATAAATTATTTTCTTCTCCCTTGTTTTTAAAATTGGTGAGATTGTTTAGCTGCACAGAAGGAAAAAAAGAGCTCATGTCTCAGATTCATGTGTTTTGTGAGATTAAAAAGAAACTGGATAAAGAAATCGACTCATGTGGAGTGTGACTCTTTGACCTTTACATTTATTTGTCACCATTTAATGCCATTTTTTTAAGTCTGCTTCGAATTTAAACATCATTTGGGTGTCAGATTGCTTAAATGTCCAACTTGCGACGTTATTTTATACCAAAATTAAGGATTTTCAACTTCTGCCGAATCTCTTTATTGAGCAGTTTGAGAGGAATTGTTCAGAAACAAAAAGCCAGCAAACACTTTTATATATTTGGATAGAGAGAACAGATGATGAGGAGGGTCAGTGCAGGAAAAAGTGAGGAAAAAACAATAAAATAACATCATCTGTTTATAACTACTGAGTACAGACCTATTTCACAGCACCATTTCGACATGAAATAGTAGGGTAAACTCAGGTGTTACCAAGGATATTAAGGTTCTATAGTATCATTGGTAACTAATATTTTGTGTCAAAATGGCTGCTGTGAAAAAGGTCTGTTGGTTTTCTCTGATAGTCGAAGGAAAGGGGAAAAAAAATAGGGTTTAATTTAGTTTCATGCTCGGTGAAGCCTGAATGTGTTGAACTGTTTCTACAGTGGAAATGTCACCGGAAGTTGAGCATACTCAGCCAAAAAATAAAAGCCGTTGACGCTGCAAAAATATTCAATATACTGAGGACACATATCAGAAGTTCAGTACATAAGCAGTTATATTCATTTGTTTAAATATATCCCGAATCTATTTTTTTTCTATATGTGTGTGTGTGTGTGTGGTAAAACTTTAAGATTTATATTTAAAAAAGATCCCACCTAATTTATCGAGGTTGTATCTCATATTAAACAGATTTCCTTCCAGATTTCCATTATTTAACTGTTAAAATCCAGCAATAATTTCACCAATCGCCTATACTGATGGGTGTGTGCGTACACTGAGTGCAGATAAGGGCGTTTTTTTTAAAGGCACGCAAGCTTTGTTGCACTGGAAAATGTCTTGTTTTAATTTGAAAATCTGCACCGGAAGCTGTGGATATACTCTCTCCAATTTGAACTCTCTCTCTGCCGGTGCTGGATGCTCTCTCACACACACACACACTCAGCAGATGCTCCGCCGGGATGAGCTGCGTGTCGCTGCCTTTTGTGCGGCTCCGGTGCTTCGACTTGAGATGCGATTTGCAGCCGAAAACAAAAACCCACCCCGAACCAAAAACCTCTACTGCGTCCACACCGAGGAGTCGAGTTACAGAATACAACGCTTTATGAATGAGAGCGGAAACTGCGGACAACCGAGAGTCGGGAGAAAGTGAATTTTGGAGCATTTGGAGGCATTTTGAGTCGGAAACGATCCGCTCCGAACTGCCGCTGCTGCTGCGGGTGGTAGTGGAGGTGGTGGTCTGCTCTTTGTGCTGCGGGGGTCGCAGCCCTTTTTCCTTTTGGGTAGAAAGGTAAGACTCTCCTGCAGGGATTTACGGGAACAATGTGCTGTTAGTGTGTGAGCATGTTTAGAGTTCTGCATGAGCTTTTGTGTTAAAATGAGCCCAAAAAACCAAACATTTGCCACCACTTTGTCTCCCCCACCCCCCCACATTGTTATTACTCTGTTTGTCCACCTTCACTCGTCTGTGTGGACTGATGAGTTGGCAGATAACCGTATCGATCACAGATTGGCTCGGTGTGAACGCGTACTCCCGGTTTGCACAGTGACTTTTGAGTCTTTTCCTTTCTTTTTTATCCGCGCACTTTTTCCATTTGTGCACTTTTACGCACTGTGTGGCCAAATGGACACCGCGCAGTCTGGTTTGCTCAGGCGCTTGTGAGTTGAGTTTTTTTTTTTTTTTTTTTTTTTTTTT